AGAAAGTGTAGGTGGGTGGGTGTAGCGTGGAGATTGTAGCAGGGCCAGACGAAGGACACTCCACGTTGCAGATTCATCATTAACTTCCTGTCAGGGCGGTGTGGGGAGGGGCCCGCACATTCCTGACTCCAACATACACACACACCCACATTAACTTTCTCCTCCTCAAGGTATGCTATCATGTCCCTGCCGCAGTATTATGTCGATACATACTGCACTGTATACTGATTATAATGTATGCTGTATACTGATGTACTATAATGTGTACGAAGTTACATACAGTATGGTGGGTGTATAATAGTATCCCACATTACGGCATCATTTACATACTTACTGTTTACCAGTGTTTGTATATTTACTGTCTATACAAATAAAGACAATCTTATAGCAAACTGTAGTGACCAAGAACACTTTTTCATGTATGGATGATAAACTAAAGAATAATGTATTTTTCTTTTTTCTTTTTTTTTTGGGGGTCGAAATCCTGAAAACTAAAACCTGCTTCATTATAAAATACTTTAACTTTGTTAACTTCGATTCTACCGACATTTACCATTCATTTGGTGTATGCTGATTTTATTTCTGTATTATTATGGTATGGGAAGAAAGTTTGTTAGTACAGGGATCATGGAATAACGCCACGCCCCCCCTCCCCCCCACACACATACACACAGACGGCAGGTGCAATTATCACATTCCTGGATCACCTTTGTGTGACGTTATCTCGGTATTATAACTTAAACCATACACTGGGAAGGAGAAAAATACAAATTCAAATCAATATCTTATTTAACTCACCTTTGAAAACATAGATTTCGGACTAAATCCCCAGTCTGGCGATGAATTACTGAAGAACATATCACCCTCTCTCCTCAGTTGTTCCTTAAGATCTCTCAATATTTCATCCCCAGATTTTCTCGCACTTGGGGAAAAGTTTCTGAATCTCTCACTAAAGTCAGGTTTGTCACAAGACAGCTTAGACCTGGTGTCACCGAAGGCAGGTATACCTTCACCACCAAAGCCTTCAGTCCTGTCTGGTTTAGCGTTACTTCGTGAACCGTGGAAGTATGACATACTGAGCCGGGTGTACCGGGGGTCACTATTATACTGAGAGCCCCACGCCAGCCCACGCACCAGACACCTCTCCGCCGATCTAGAACATGCCAGAATCTCTCTCTCGCATCTTCTTCAACAATGGCGTTCACATACGATGATTTGTAAATTTTTTATTGCAGTGGGGTGGCCTTATAATGCTATTGTATAATTTTGTAGTTAAATTAGAAAAGCACGTTGGAAAGGAAATTAAAATATAAGATTCATTGTCTGAAAATTCCTACTTGGAAACTAACTTGGATCCAAATAGTTACCAGCTTCGGATTTACAAATATTTTTCTGTTTTCTGGGAAACTAAAGTATTGCTGTGGGAGATTATTTTTAACCTCCAAATATAATGAACCAGTTATCAAAACCACCATTTTGTTAGACTTCTTCATTTTAACTACAATAATCTGGATAGATAATCAAATCATTACAAACAATCGCTATATCTTGTCATTTGATGGATACCAAATAAGTCTACTAACAATTATACACCTATTATTCATAACTAAAAAAAAAAACGACTCCGAACACAAAACAATATTCATTCCTCTTATAAAATAGTCTATTTAGTAAATGTACTGACTCATATAATATAACCATGCTGCTCAAGTATTGTTTGTTCCCCGGAATTCTAAAATAAGATTGGTTCCTTGCCATCACCAGCGATCAGAGATTGTTCTTACCAATCACAGTACACAGGTGAGGGGAAACATGACCTCCAATCACAGAATAGTACACAGGTGAGGGGTAAACATGACCTCCAATCACAGAATAGTACACAGGTGAGGAGGAAACATGACCTCCAATCACAGTACACAGGTGAGGGGGAAACAACCTCCAATCACAGCACAGTACACAGGTGAGGGGGAAACAACCTCCAATCACAGCACAGTACACAGGTGAGGGGAAAACATGACCTCCAATCACAGAATAGTACACAGGTGAGGGGTAAACATGACCTCCAATCACAGAATAGTACACAGGTGAGGAGGAAACATGACCTCCAATCATAGAATAGTACACAGGTGAGGGGGAAACATGACCTCCAATCACAGAATAGTACACAGGTGAGGAGGAAACATGACCTCCAATCACAGTACACAGGTGAGGGGGAAACAACCTCCAATCACAGCACAGTACACAGGTGAGGGGAAAACATGACCTCCAATCACAGTACACAGGTGAGGGGGAAACATAACCTTCAATCACAGTACAGTACACAGTTCATGGGGAACATGACCTCATCACATTCGTCACAATCTCAACATTATACCATTTCAATATAACTTGTTGTGGGTAGGAGATTCAGGGAAAAATATGAGATAGATAGAAAGATAGCGAGATAGGAAGTGAATCGAATCAATTGAAAAAAATCTTATTCGATTTATTCCTTTATAAAATTCAATATTACAGGAATATTATTTTATTTTCAATCTCGGAAATAAAATACACAGTTGGTGAGAATAACACGAGCTCTTAAAGAATGATATACTATAGTTATTTATGCAGTACGTGGATATAGCAATGGATAGCCCAAGATAGATCACGTGAAGATCAACCCCCACACGGACTATTTCAACTGATGATTAAACACTAACATTACCTAGGGGGTTAGTTTAAGTATTATTTTTACTTTTATCCTCTTCGCCACTGATCGGCTCGTTAGCAACTTGGGCGGTCGGTCACATCTATGATACACACTGTTGGCAAATACTGGGCATGCATTGGCTCCTGAATGTATTGGAATTTGCTCCAGTGTTGGTCAAGTTTGGTCTTGAATGAGCTCACACTCAGTACCGTCACAACGCTCTCCGGTAGATTGCTCCAAGAGTTCACGACCCTCTCTCCGAAAAAGTTTGTCCTGACAGTTTTCTGGACCTATGGCTTCTTCAACCTCGAGCTGTGGGGTCACTTTCGATCAAGTAGTGCCCCCTGAGATGTTTATACACTTCGAAGACAGTGACGAGCGACGGACCACCCAGATATCTAAACGACCTTCTTATAAGACCTACTAATTTCGTTGCCTTACTTTTACTTTTATCCTCTTCGCCACTGCTCGGCTCATTAGCCGCTTGGGCGATCGGTCACGTCTCTGTTGCGCACTGTTGGCAAGTACTGGGCATGCACTGGCTCCTGAATGTATCTGAACCTGCTCCAGTGCTTGTGAAGTATGGTCTTGTAAGAGCTCACACTCGGTGCCGTCACAACCCTCTCTGGCAGATTATTCCAAGAATTCACAATTCTTACTCCGAAAAAGGTTACCCCTCACAGTTTTCTGGGCTTGCAGCTTCTTCAACCTTGAGCTGTGACCCCTTGTGGGGCGAGCGTCCCCAAGCTCCAGGTAAGGGCACTATACACCTCAATTAGGTCTTTCCTTGCCCGTCTGTACTGTAGTATAAGTGAGGCAATTTCAGGCGCTCTAATCTCTCAGGGTAGCTGAGATGCCGTAGTGCAGACATTTTCAATTAACTGACAGTCCCTAGCATACCTCGGGGACCAGACGGGGTTACAGTTCTCCAGACAGGGGAAGCACTTCACTCTTGAAGATCGTTACGAGGAACGTAACGGCTAGATCTCTGAACGACCTTTTTATAAGACCTAATAATTTAGTTGCCAGATTTACCTTCTTCTCGCAATGGCCCGAGAATTTCAGCTCATTGTCAGTACACCCAGGTCCTTTTCATATTCATTCTCTGTAAATGAAGTTTCTTCGTCCCGTTGGGACATATAATACGCTTCCTTACCGTTGGTACGTCCCAGGTGCAGCCTCTTACACTTCGTGACATTGAATCTTAGCAGCCATTTATTTGACCATTCTTGAAACTCACAGAGATCCTTCTGCAGCTCTTCACAGTCTGCTTGGTTCTTAATTTCCCAAAATAACTTGGCGTCGTCCGCAAACATTTGTATGGGGGAATGTACAGCGTCGCGCATATCATTTATGAAGCAAACAAATAACGGCGGACCCAATACACTGCCCTGTGGTACCCCGCTTGTAACGGGTACACATGATGATTTCGTGCCATTAATCACCATACACGGCTTGCGGTCATGGAGAAAGTCTTCGATCCATGCGAGGACATTTCCCCAAATCCCGTACACTTCCAGTTAAATTTTCAGCCTTTCTTCTCACAATGGTCCAAGAACTAAAGTTCATTGTCGACATACACACCCAGGTCCTTCTCACATTCGTTCTCAATTAATGCAGTCTTCGTCCTGTTGGGACATGTGATACGCTTCATTACTATTGGTGCTACTCAGGTGCATCCTTTTGCACCTCGTGACATTGAGTCTTAGCAGCAATTTCCTCGACCATTCTTGAAGAGCATGGAGATCTTTCTGCAGCTCTTCACAGTCTGTTTGATTCTTATTCTCCCTGAACATCTTGGTAAGGTTAGGTCAGGTTAGATTACGTTAGGTTTTAACATGAAATAGCTGGTGAACTAACCTTCATGTGATCTTCCTACCCTAACTTAAATATAGTAACCATGCATTTATATAGTACAGGTACAGGTATAAGAACTTTCACGTTTCATCCAGAATAACTGAAAATACTGTAGTTGGATGTAAAGAGTGAATCAAGGGATCCATGTTATAATTATTTATGAAATAGAAATGGTATACCATTAGCATCATCTTTGTACAAGTAAAGTTTGAACAACATCAAAGTATACAAGATTATTGTAAGTAGTTATATATCTTAATGAAATATCATTCTCAATCCTGGTAATCCACATTTGGTTTTGACGAGAAACCCTTTTGCAATTTGTATGAAGATAAAATTTAATTCTCGCCATATTTAATCGAGTATTATAAATTATAATATTCTATGATACAAATGCTGTAACTAAGAACAAGATTGTCGTATTAACAGGTAAATATTTATATAAATGATGCTTGGACGCCTCACACGCAACACGTTCCCCTACAGGCCACAGCATATACTAATGTAAGTTGTGTATTTGGTTGGCTTGACATGTATGACAGCCAGGTGGTGACAGACGTGAGTGTGTGACTGTCAATGTAGACTTAGGGTATTTATTCACTAGTATACAGACACTGACTAACAGTAGGTCAATTTAACCAAGGATAGCTTAAGGTAAAGGTAGTACAGTATTATTATCGTTTCGGTCATGCAGCGAATTTTAGGATTTTTATCTTTAGGTTAGGTTAAAATTATGTTTTTCCAATGGGTTTTGATGCGTTTTGAATGATTCAGACCAACTTCCAAATTGGTGCATGACTGAAACAATAATTTCACCGGTAAGGTCATTATTGATGACACCCGCCGCCGATTTTTCATAGAAAATTATTTTAAAAATGCAGTGGATATTTTGCCGTGACCAGATAAGGTCCTACTAATGCTATTTTAACATAAGTGTGCTCTGATCGTCCTTTACCAGCAAACAAAATGACAAAATATCCTTTACGTTCATTTTTTCTCGAGATGTTTGGATGATAGTAGGAAAATATAAATGACTCTACAGGTTAAAAAGTTAGGTGAGGTTAGCTAGGTGAGGAGAGGTTAGGTAAGGTTTTAATAGGTTCTGTGCATTGTTATTTTGATTTGATTAGGCAATCAGAGTGCACTCACGGTAAAATAGCGTTAGTAGGAACTTAGCCGGTCACGGCAAAATATCCACTGCCTGAGAAGACCTCACCAACCTAAACTTAAGTAACCTACCTAACCTTACCTAACTTCCTAGCCATGAGGCTCCATCCTCTGGACCCCTGGCATATTAAACAGAAAGAACTTACTTTGATATGGTGTAATCATAACAAGATCATGTACACCGTCTTTAACTCCCCAATCTCATCTTCAGGAGTCGCACGGTAGACGGTGTATTGAACGTACCATTGCTTATTTCTCTTGCTCTTATTTTAGGGTGATGACAATTCTATTAATAGATGAACATTTTCTATAAATCATTATGAAACATTCAGCCTGTGTTAAATGTGTTTATGGTTGTTCGTGGGTCATGGTTAGTACACGTGTCAAATTTCAATGTCGTGGCCCACTGAGATGATTGAGGACCACTCATTTGATCCTCTCATTTGCCTAAGTTGCTCAGCACTGATCTAAAACAACATGTAATTTATTAATCTTGAGGTATAGGTAAAGAGATAGGTGTTACATTATTTCCTGACAGTTTTTAATGTGATCTGTATGGATGTCAGTGATATCATCGGGACCAAGATCAGGAATGAGACCTTTCGTAATTTTAGCATTTATGAATCACCTGAAAATTAGCCCCCCTAAATGGCTCACCTGAAGAGTTATCCCTCCCCCCAGATTAACCAGCCTGAAGTTTAACTCCCCCCAAGACTACAGTATCTAGGCAGAGCTAATCTTTAGGTGATCCATGAAGGCTAAAATTTCTAATGCTCTCATTCATGGTCTCCGTCTTGACTAAACGTTTTCTTTAAAAAACAGAATGCTTAGTTGTTGGCTTAACTAAAGAATAATGTAAAAGTATTAAGTTAGGTTTGTTGTGTGCTAGTGTGTTGTCATTAATGGTTTAGGTCCACAGGCTACTTCTTGGGATCCTTCGAATGCATTTTTGTACAGGTTGGCAATCCCTTATCTGAAATCCTTGGGGCTAGATGTGTTTTGGATTTAGGAATTTTTCGGATTTCAGATTGGTTAGGTTAGGTTTTTTTTTTTTTTTTTGCAGGGATCAGCCCACCCGGGCACAGGTCACTGACCCACATTGGGGCCTGGGGGGCGAAAATGTAATACAGTACCTGTAATAAAAATAATAATTCATAGTAAATAAAATTTACAATAAGAAATACAAAAAAAAATAAAATAATAGTGATAACAATAATAACAACAACAATGATAATGATGTAATAATAATAATTCATAGGTCTAGGTCGTGTTTCTCACTTTTTATCTTTTTTTCATTCTTGTATTCCTTTATTATTATTATTATTATTATTATTATTATTATTATTATTATTATTATTATTATTTTATTATTATTATTATTGTTGTTGTTATTGTTATCATTATTATTTTATTATATTTATTTTTTTATTGTAAATTTTATTTACTGTGAATTATTATTATTATTATTATTATTATTATTATTTTTTTTTTTACGTGGCCTCCAGCCTCCCTCAATAGCCACACCTATGCTGCCATTTTATTACCTTAATTTTAAATATCCTAATACATAAGTAGCTATCCTAGCTGTGTTGAGTTAGTTGAGCTGCAGATCTAATAATAATAATTAACGGTTTATTGAAAGAGCTTGGCAGCCAGAAGGCTGAAAATATACAGTTACATATTTGGGGAATGGGTTTCGAATTACAAATAATATACAAGTAGCATAAGTGATATAAATAAGACATATAATAACTAGATGGGGAAAAGCTCAAACTACAGTGCATTTCAACATAGTGACAGTGCAAGAAGTAGTATGTACTGAGAGTGAATATACTGGTTTATTACAAGTTATTGATAATTTTTACAATGGTTGGGACTGGGCTGTTCTTATAGCGATCAGTTCGTGCACGTATGGGCTGGATGCGGTTGTGGTGTCGAACAGCACTTCTCGGGCTAGGGATCTCAGGTGGTAGTAGGAGCCGGTGTCGAGGATGGTGTAGAAGTTTCTGACCAAATTTGCAGATGAGGTCGTGGTGATGGTCAGTGAGAGTCGAAAGGGTCAGTGTGTTGAGCGCTTCTTGATATGTGGCATTCAGTGACTGTAGCCTCATAGTCAATATCTGCAACTGTTGTCAGCTTTGGGGCCGAAGCTCTCGTTCCCCTGAGGCAGAGCAAAGCCGACCGAAGGAGAAAGAAGGACAGTCGACATCTCTTCCAGGCTGTAACATAACTTCTGGGCTGCTGCTTCTGTTCGGAGATCACCTCCGTGAGTCTGGCAAAGAAACATCTTGCACTTTGTCCCATCCTGCCAGAAGTTGTGAACACTAGAGGAGTGAAGCTGCCTTGATCAACGTTCTGAATTCTCTCCCCGTATTCCCTTAACTTGTCATTCTCGTTCCTCCTGTGTGCAGCATCGAGAGCTAAGTTACGGTGACATGCGACCATGGGATAAAAAATCTTGATGTCGAAGAAGGCTCGCTGTCCCCGCGTCCAGAATCCTCGAGCACTGACGTCAACACGGGCTTCGTTGGATGTGTTTGAAGTCCTATGTTGGAAAATTTCACCGTCCAGTGGAAGGAGGGTCGGTTCAACCCTGACATCACGGCAGATTTCCTTCAACATATTTGCTGTGAGATCCCTTACTTCGTTATGCCTCATGCATATGATGCCCCCCTTTCTTGCACATCATGGCGTGATCGGCTTCATAGGAAGAGCCACACACGCATTGGGAGGGCAAACCTTCCACTGGCTTACTGTACCTTAGAGCATTGGCATCTATAAATTCTTGTTTATTGAGACTGAAACCATTTGCCCTTATCGGTAACGTAGTTGACCAGTTTGAGGCGCCCACCTGCGCTATAGCTACTTTTTTTTTTCAAATTCTCTGGTACTTGCAACAACAGTTGCTGCAACTTATCACTTTGGCTGTGCTGTCGTTCTGTCGTAATGGACCTTCGAATCTTGTTTACTTCACTGGTCTCCACCTCCCCTGTTGCGTTCTGAGCTAGTATGTGGTCCGTGAGGGCTGCCGTGAGCTTAACTGAGTTTTGATGTTCGGTGGCAGCAATCTCCTCTGGATTGGTCAATCCCATACCTCCCAGTCTCGGTGGTAGTTCAAGGAGTGATCTTTCTGCTGGGGTTAAGTGAGGGTGTTTCACTAATTTGGGAATGAAATTGATGCTGATAGCTTCTTCCAGAGGGTGGAGGAGGGGCCCAATATCAGGGATAGTGCGCATCAGGTAGTTCCAGCGATGCTCGACTCCATGGGTTAATGCCACAAAAGCCGCATGTGGCTCTGTCGCAACCTCAGACAGAGCTTGGATTTCCCTAACCCACTCATTCACCTTTCCCGTTACGTACTCGGTCTTGAAGTCAGTCATCCATATTACTGAGCCTAGGTATCTTTGGCCTTCCTTTGTTATTTTGACCTCACTTCCGCCAAACACCTCCATTGCCCATTCATAATGTTCTGGCTTCACGATGAGGAAGGACTTGCTGGCATTTGGGTGGTACCCTATTTGTGGGCCTCGCGATGTTACCAGGTCCCACCACTTTTTATGTCCTCCACTTTTCCTGCTCCTGTAAGGTCATCAGCGTACGCCACTTGTTTGACCTCAGTTGTTTCAAATTTTATTGTGTGTTGGAGGATGGATAGGCCTATTGCATATATTGTCATTGCAACAGGGTCCCCCTGCGTTGTTTCCTCTGTTGACTGTATGATGGTATCACCTCTTAGAGCCTTGTTGTTTACTATATAGAGGTCTGATGGATTCCTATAGGAGTTTTCAACATACATTGCAAAGCTTGGACACTTGATCTTGATGTTGTGCTGTTCGGCCTTGCGGTTAAGTATGTTGAATGCATTTGAAGCGTCCACCAGGAGAACGGCCTCACAATCACGCTGCTCAAATATCGTTCTCATGGCTTGAATGGCAGCTTTCCCTCCAGCCTGGTGACCAGCACAAACTTGCAAGTTCCCTGCTGCTGCCCTGACATCATCCTTTACCACCTCCATGATCCATTTTCCAATGATCCGCTTCAGCACTTCCCCCACCCCTATAGGCCAACATCCTGGATTCTTATCCAGGGGGATGAGGCGGCAGGCCGCCAGAGCATGGAGGTGATGGTAGCACGAGGATGCCAGCTTTCTTGGAAGAACGGCAATGGCAGTACAGAGATCACTTGCTACTGGTCCAAACTTGTTAGTGCTGAGGATGACTCTCCAACCGTTTGCATCCAGGCCTGAAGGGCCGGCACCTCCCTGTGTCTTCAGTGCCTTTTTCCACACCATCCCTCCTGTTATTTTCTCGAACGGGACAGCATTTGGTGGGATATAG